ATAAATGAAATTGCACAGTTACAAATAAAATGCTCCAAAAAAACTACATATCTTTGTATGATGTACAGTACAGCTAAATGTAAAAAATAACAACTACATGCACAATATTTAAACTATTGCCATGAGTTTTTATAGTAAAATTTCTCCAAAAATTCCTATAAATACAGAATAATGATTTTTCAAATGTGACCTTACATAAAATCAATAAAAGTATAAATCTATTAAATGAAGTGTTAACTTTTGAAAATATTTGAGACAACAAACTAATACAAAACAAATTTGCACCACTTTTATCTACAGCACTTTTAAAACAAAATAAATCATCCCAAAATCTTTGTGGAACATGTACCAGATATTCTCAAATTTAATTAATCTGAATGTGTCACAATATGTGACAAGTATAACAAAAAGGATTTTTACTTTTTGGAGGCAGGCATAAATATCATTTCATTGTATATCAATATCTGGTAATTACATCTCATGTACAAGAACAGTTTTAAAAGTTATTATATTTTGCAACATTGAAGACAATACCTCTTTCAGTATTTAAATTTGGTACATAAGTCTGCATTACAATACAAGCTTCCCAATGGAATAAATTTTGTGACAAATATCCATTCTTAAAATGCTAAGTACAATATTTGATAAAATAAAATTGCTAAAAGACAACATGGAGTCCTTAGGAATGTGTAAGGAATGGCTCACTGTACGTTATGTGAGAGACAAACACTCACATTAATTGACATGATAGGAATGTATCATTCTTCTTCAAGGTGACATTACACTGCCTCCACAACAGTAATATATCTCCTATGTTTACCCTTAAACTATTTTGTTTGTATTACTTCAACCATACATCCAAGCCGAGAACTTGATGGGCCAGGCTTGGGGGGGGAAAAAAATAATAAAAAAAATCAGAACATCCTTTTCAAGAGAATCACTAAACATGCTGGACTTAACACTCATACTTGTATCAACACAGCCAGCATAGCAAGTAAAAAATAAAATCATTCATTTTCAAAAATCATATCAAAACAGCTAGGCACGCACACAAAAAAAGAGCTAAAATACTTAAGTTAGTGCTATTTTAGTTTCTTGGCTTCTTCTACTAAGAAATCCTTAAATAACTTATATTTATCATCTAATGGGACTTTGATCTTCGCCTTCAAGACTTTGACATAGTCGTCCACCTCGCCTGCTTTCTCCTTCTTCTTCTCCAATTCGCCATAAGGTTCGGTGGCTTCATCTAGCTTGGTGTCCTCCTCGACGATATAAGTTTCGAACAGACTCTTCAGGTTAACACCCTCTGTCTTGAGCCAGAACTGGTAGCCTCGAGCTGCATTGTCCATACCATAGGCTGTCACTGGGACATCAATGATATCAACACGCTCATCATATGAGCCGCCTCGTAGAAACCTGCAATTTTCGAAAAAGGATTGAGTGAAGGAGCTAGTTTGGTGTTTTGGGGGGCTTGAGCAGAAGGTGAGAAGGGGAAGAGAAGGGGGAAGAGTGACTGAGAAATATGGGAATTTTGCTGATGATAATGACTGTACAATAAGTGGTGGTGTTAAATGTGATGATGTTGATGAGGGTAATGATGGCTCGATGATGGCTGGTGGTGGCAGTGGTGGTGGTTAGATGGGGGATAGGTATACATATATACATATAGATGTGGAAATGGAGCAAAATAGGGAAAAAAGATGATGAAAACAGGCCCAAAAAATTATGACTAAATAACACAGGAAAAAAATTAGACAAAGAGGAAGAGGAGGGAAAGAAGTGGAGGAAGAGGTGGAGGGAAAGAGGTGGTGGCCCTCCTCCACCTCTTATGACTAAATAACACAGGAAAAAGAGTTAGACAAAGAGGAAGAGGAGGAGGGAAGGAGGAGGAGGGAAAGAGGAGGAGGAGGGGGAGAGAGGAAGAGGAGGAGGAGAGAAAGTGGAGGTGAAGGAGGTGAAGGCGGAGGATGAAGAGGAGAGAAAGAGGAGGAGGAAAAGGAAGAGGGAAAGAGGAGGAGGAGGAGGAGGAGGAGGAGGAGGAGGAGGTAGAAGAGAAGAGAAGCAAAAGGAGGGAAAAGGGATGGAGGGATGAAGATGAAATGGAGAAAGATGAGGAGGAGGAAGAAGAAATGGGGAATGAGAAGGAGGAGGAGAAAGGAGGGGGAAAGAGAAGGAGTATAAAGAGGAAAAGGAAACAGAGAAGGAGGAGGACGAAGGGAAAAAGAAGTTGGGGAAGAGGAGGAGGAGGAAGGGGGAGGTGAACTAAAGGAAGAGAGAGAGGAATAGGGGAAATTTTCCATCAGCCATAAATAAACAATCAAATAAACAATATAGAAAAATACAAACAAACACCATACCTCCCCCCAAACAAAACATGCATCACATACTTAAAGAAAGCCTCTTGTCCACGTGGTGCGGGAAGGCGGGAAAAATTTTCGGCGGCCATCCATTCCTCGAGTTCCTCCTTGCTTGAAGGGACGCCGCGCTTCTGGGGCTGGAC